TTATTGAAATTGGTTAATTCTATCGAAAGTCATGATTATTATTTTGAAATGTAGGTTCGAATTTGTTTAAAGGCGCCACAAAATCCCAAAAATAGTAATAAAAAGATTCGTGTGTAAAAAAAACGTTCTATTATAATATATTTCGTATCGTTCTATTATAGTACTTAAAACACAGTAAAAATATGTTTTCCTTAAATTAAAAAAGGATGTTTTCTCACAAAGAACGTAATAGATGGCGTTGTACAAATTACAACCTTTTCTGAATTGCGGTGTTAAGATTTTTCGCAGGTGAATCGTATTGAGACTCACTGTAATAATTTATGTACATGAGGCTGACGAAGCTGCAAGCCTGTAAGGTATATATATACAGAGGTATTGAAATATTTAATTATTCAACAAAACTCGACTAAAACTAAAAGTAGCAAAATTGCAATAAATGTCGTGATGGTGATATTGTTTTATAGCCAGAATCACTCTAATACCAAATAACTTTTTTTTTCAGTTTTAAGTAAAGTAAAGTTGCAGCCTATTTACGTCCCACTGCTGGGCACAGGCCTCCTCTCATTTCTGAGAGGGTTTTAGGGCAAGGAAATGTCCACCGCGCTGCCCCAATACGTGTTGGCGAACTTCACATGTCATCGAAATATTATTTTTTATTTCTCAAACATGCAGGTTTCCTCACGATTTTTACCTTCACCGCCGAGCACGTGGTAAATCAGCACTTAAAATTGCAATTGACAATTTCATTGGTGCCGGCGGGGATCGAACCCGGGTTGCTCGAGTACTGTGAAGCTTACAGCGAGCGCTAACCATCTGAGCTACCACGGCTCAGGCTTCAGTTTTAAGATAGGGATAATAACATCGATGTTGGCATCGCTAGCTCAACATCGATGTTCGATGTTTAGGCCACTCAAAACATCGATGTTGACCATTATCGATGGTTTTTGTATATGTGTAGATAGTTACACATTGTTTTAAAATTATGTGGGTATACACAGCAAGGGAAAAGTAACAATTAACTTGAATATCAATTTACGTAGAATAGTTATTATGCGACAACCGACAACGACACTACAAAATAAAGCGAAAGAAGTGACCATTGTGACATTACAGGAGACACTTGACAATTAAGTTTGACTCACCATACTGACATTTTTTTAGATTAACGATGCGTTCAGAAATTCTGAATTATTCAAAATTTTTAATCTTCAGAGCAGATGCAAGATTTAGTTGATATTGATTTCGCGAGTTCGCATTGTTTGCAAGTTCCCAATTATCGATTATGGGTTCATTGACGTCGATGTTTCGATGTTTGACATATGTCAACATCGATGTTAAAACATCGAAGTTTTAATTTTTAACATCGATGATCATCTAACATCCCTATTTTAAGTGTGTTTCCCACTCAGCGTGTGTTATGCGACGATCGTAAATAAAGCGCAAGGTCAAACTTTACGCGTCAGTACTGATTGTTTTGCACATGGCCAGCTCTATATTGCTTTTTCTCGCGTTAGTAGTCCCCGTAACCTTTTTCTGTACGCCCCGGCTAAGTCTACTTCTATCGTCGTTTACACAGAAGCTCTATCATAAACGACTTAGAACTTTGAGAATATCGATTTATTTTGTTACCACTTATTCATAGAGTAATTATATAAATCGGTTAATATTCTCTTACCCTAAACGTCAAATTCTTTAAGTAAAACCTATATTCGCGAGCTACGCCGCGGGCACAGCTAGTTACATAATAAGACCACTGAGCAGTACGTGGTAGAGCTATATTAATAGTATAGTTGTAGCACGCATGGGTTGACTCGCCAGGGGAAGTACCACGCTCTCACAGAATACCAGCGTGAAAGCAGCTTAATGTTGCTGTGTTTCGTATGGTGAGTGTAGAAAACCGAAGACCCTTTTTACTGAAAAAGAGGCATTCTATCTTAGTCCTCATGGGTGATAACGCATCTGCATTTTGATTCGTCATCGAGGATAGATGCAGATGTCTATGGGCCACAGCAACCACTTATCTTCAAGTGGACTGTGTGTTCGTTTGTCAACTTTATCCTATAAAAAAAACGCACTGCTACGACAAATTGTCTAACACAATGTTCATCGATTTGCCGACTTCAAAATAGTCTTTATCCAGATATTGATTGTTTGAATTTGAATATGTTGAGATATTTTTTCTTCAAAATCCTCTCTTAATCCACTGTTGTATAAAGACCTTTGAAAAAAATCCCTCAAATCTTAAAAGATTTGTCTATACCGTCAATTGGAAAGTGCATATCCGATACCCTCGCGTTGTCATTGTCAATAAAAATTACAGCTTATCTACTGACAACGCATCTGCATTTTAATTCGCAAACGAAAATAGATCTAGATGTCTATGGGGCACAGCAACCACTTACCATCAGGTGGACTGTGTGCTCGTTTGTCAACCTTATTCTATAAAAAAGGAAGTCCTTACATGTAGAAAAGTTCATTATCAGATTGCAACTAAAAAATATTTACCGTGTAGTGGGGGTGTAAGAATATCCATTACCCCATATCATCCCGTGGGTGTCGTAAGAGGCGACAGATGGATACAAGTCATCTATGGGGAAGGCCTATGTTCTGTAGTGGACTAATGGGCTATAAAGATTGACGGCTCTGTGGTGCAGTGGCTTAGCAATCAGTTGTTGCGCTGGGGGCCGCGGGTTCGAATCCCGCACGGAACAAGTATTTGTATGGCCTACAAATAATTGTTCCGGGTCTGGATGTTTGTCCTTGTGCAATTTATGTTTGTAAACTGCCTCCACGACACAGGAGAAAATCCTAGTGTGGGGGTAACGTTTTTTTAAGAGAAAAAAAAAAGATACAGAAAGGAAACAGAATTGTATTTATGTAGTATTCAACTTAAATCGAAATTCGAGTTAAACTATTCGCCGCTATGAAAGATTAAGTATAAGATGATTATACTTAATTTTACATTTTAACAGTAAAAAAACACATTTAATACGGTTTATTTTTTATAACCAGTTGTATTTCTTGTTCTTTTTTTATAATTAAAAGTCGTAAACATGTTTTTGAGTCAATTGGTCGCTATTTTACACATTATGTAAAAAGCAGTAATAAAATGAGTGATCTATGTGTGGGAGCTAGTTATGGTGCATAACATCCTTTAATAAAAAATATATATAAATGTTGTGAAGTGGTGACGCAAGGGAATCCACCCCTCCTTATTGTCCCAAAACTGTTGCAGAAGGTGATTATAGGAAATGCTTAACATCTCATGGCTCCCGATAGATGGTATAATCTCATTGAGACCAGTATTATTCAGACGGGTGACGGGAAGCGACATCAAAATAACGTCTGGAACTGATCGTCAGTCCTCTTTCTTTGACGGCTCCATCGCGCAATAAATTATCAATGGATATAACAATTATAATGGCAATAGCGAATCACCGACGGAACAAGTATTTGTAAGGCCTAAATACACTTGTTCCGTACAAATCCTTGTACATATAATTGTTCCGGGTCTAGTTGTTTTTCATTGTGTAATTTATGTAAGTAAACTTATTTTTCTTTGTTTTTTTTTTTCACTAGGATTTTATCTTGTATTGCGGGGGCAGTTACATACATAGATTTCAAAAGGACAAACATCCAGACCCAGAACCTAGAGCGCGACGAGACCTACAGCGTGACCCACTATGCCTACACGCTCATACCCACAGAAGCATTAAATTCGGGTCTAGAAAATCTTTGAATATGTTACGATTCAGAAGAAGGCTTTTGAGCGGGATTGGGAAAGCGCGAATCCCGCTCGAAGATGATGTCGCCAAGGCATTTGTAACGGCTCTCCTCTTGAAATCGGTGTTCCCCTACCAGAAACGGGGCCTCCGGGGTTGCAGACGGGGCGGGGGCCTCGAATAAAATGTTTTACAATAGTTGTCTGTCTAACATATATAAAAATGGAGCTTCAGAATGTAAGTGAAATTTAGTAATTTTTTGAGAGCTGCAAATCGATACTGCCGACGGAAAGTGTCTGGGAGTATTGATGACTGATTTTTAATGATATTATCTAATGTATACGTAAAAATCAGCTGGGAGAATAAACGTGAGGTGAGCAATGTTTCTACGTATCTCGATTACCTGATGCCTGGAAAATGCCCTCTGGCCGAGATAGCAGCGATCATATTACATACTAACACTACTCAATGTTACACATTTCGTTCGTCAGAAAATAATTGACGTCTGGTGACCCTGGGATCTTGGACTTTAGTAATAAAGACATATCTTCTTAGAACGGAACAGATAGATGTTCAACACTTCAACAGTGGAATTTTACAGGCTAAGGAATAAGAAAGTTAAAAGTAAATATAACTAGAAGTATTACTAAGAATATGCGCACAATTATACTCATCGTTGATGTTCAAAAAAATTGTTTAAAAGAACAAAAAAATGTTTTCACACTGGGTTTCATTCTGGTTCTTCCCAGAACAACAGTCTTTTCCAAACCAGTAAAGCTTAAATGACTTTTAATAAGTATTCTTGTAATGTATATTGAATGAACAAATATGATTCTATATATTTCATTCTAAAGAATCTTTGTGGTTTTATGAACTTAAATCTTTCTGAGATTCCCTCCTCTTTATTTCTATATATTCTATATATTTCCATATATATATTCTCTGTTTTATTTCTCCCATTAGTAATTAAAATTAAACAAAATACACAAATAAGCAACGGTACATGCGACAGGTTCGTTAATTGATTGTGGAGTCGTTATGTAGATGATCCGAAACAAACGAGTCGTTGCAAATTATGTATTTTAGAAAAAGGACCTTCGGGTATCTCTGAGATGAATAACATCGACCGCTTTGCTCTCTTTCTTTATGTTCTGGCAAACAGGTCTAGCCATCAGTTCCGTGACGCGTACATACACTGATATATAAAGTTGAAGACGCGCTTTAAATGTCATACTCACTCCAATCGTCAGCACAGCAGCATACAGTACAGCACTCACAATGAAATACTTCGTAAGTGTTTAATGTTTTTACTATCAGATATTTTGTTATAATGTGATAAATGTGCGAATGATTGTATTCTTAATTAAGTCTTCTCTGATTAGGTTATACTTTATGAATTTTTCGCATCTCTGATTCCATCTAATATGTTGTTTACATTAAAATCCTCCATACCGAATTTCGGCCACGGCGGCCAATCTCACGGAGACCAGCACACGAGTGTGTGCGTAAGCACAGGTACACTCTCTATTTCCTCACTCGTAGTCCGATGAGACTCCATTTCAACACCACCGGAGAGAGATCAGGCGACAAACGGCTTTAAGTGCTTTCAAATGCGTACCCTTCTTTTTTGCCCGTAGGAGACACCGCCAACTTCCTATCTCGACAAAAAAAAATTCAATAGCTGTATGCTACGAATATATTGTACAAGAACGAGATGAATGTGGTATGCTCACTTACGGAAATACCAAAAAATCTTGCCAATTTTCGGAGACATTGTAATAATAGCGGAATATGTTTTCGTGGTAGATCCATGCTGCAGCTATATTACTGGTATAGTTGTAGCACGAATGGGTCGGCTCAACCGGGGAAGGACCACGCTCTCACAGAATACCAGCGTAAAATATCAGCTTAACGCTGCTGTGTTTCGTATGGTGAGTGTAGAGAACCGGAGACCCTTTTTACTGGAAACGAGGCATTCCATCTTAGTCCTCATGGGTGACAACGCATCAGCATTTTGATTCGTCATCGAGGATAGATGCAGATGTCTATGGGCCACAGCAACCACTTACCTTCAAGTGGACTGTGTGTTCGTTTGTCAACTTTATCCTATAAAAAAAAATGCACTGCTACGACAAATTGTCTAACACAATGTTCATCGAAGTCGGCAAGACTTCAAAATAGTCTTTATCTATATTATTTTATAGATATTGATTGTTTGAAATTGAATATGTTGAGATATTTTTTCTTCAACATCCTCTCTTAATCCACTGTTGTATAAAGACCTTTGAAAAACTCCCTCAAATCTTAAAATATTTGTCTATTCCGTCAATTGGAAAGTGCAGATCCGATACCCTCGCGTTGTCATTATCAATAAAAATTACAGCTTATCCACCATATAAAACTCTGAACATTGGCCTCCCCGATAGATTGCTTCATATAGGGAATTTTAGTCATGGTTGTCACGCTTGGAAGACCGGTTAGCAAGTTTTTTTTATCATTTTGGGCTGTTATCTAGAAAATTCTATTGCCCATGTTGTGTTTAATTTCACTCTGTCGCTTCTTACGACACATATGGGACTTTGTGGATATTCCTACGACAGCGAATACGGCGGATGGTAGTGTTGTTCTACATTACCTATGAAAATCGTTTCGAGAACTTTTTGTCGCGTGATTTGTGGACGCGAATCTTACCAAGTAACATTTTCATATTCTATTCTATAGTGGAAAAACCTTTCAAGAGCAAAAAGTAGAGTCCCACTGCTAGGCAAAGGTCTCTTCTCATTTCTAACAGGGTTATAGATATATATATATAGATGCACAGGAACAGTTTTTTACATTTACTTTTAATTTACAGGTTTGCATCTTACTTTTCGCCATCATCGCTGCCGCGTCAGCCGGCTACATCGGCTCAGGCTGGTCTGCGCCTTCCTATGGTTACTCTGCACCACTTGTGTACTCGAGAGGCTGGGGTAGCCCCTACTACAATAGCTACTCTGGTTATTCTGGATGGGGTAACAACGGCTGGGGTAACAACGGCTGGGGCCACAACTTGGGCTACAACGCTTGGTAAAAAGGAGAAATCAGTGGGCCAAATGAATATACAATACAGGCATTATGATTAAGGATAAACGCAACTATATCTGAAATTGGAAAAAAATGATTAAGTCTAATTCAAAATAAAATAAAATGGCTATCTATGATAATCGTACGATTTGCCATACATATTAACGTGATATTTTAAAACTATTATGAAAGAGTACTTTTTTTACTGTATCATACTGTTTATAAACATCTGTTCAAGTAATTTTGTACTACTCCTTCAAAGTTAACTCACTGCACTGTAAACTGTAAATAAACTCTTAAATTTGACACGAACTTAATAAATTTTATATTAGTACACACGTGATATTTCATTTGCATTGCTTTGGTTTACCGTTGCCGCTGAATCTGAATGACAGGGTGTGAAATTTTGTGATAAGAGGAAAGTGTGGTTTGCAAGATGACGTTGTGGATTAAGAAAGGAATGCTTCGGTGGTTTGGTCATGTAGAAAGAATGAACGAGGAAAGAGTGACAAAGAAAATTTATGTTGCAGAAGTGAACAGCAGATTCGGGACACACTAGACGAATGCTGTTTCTAAACAATTTCATATTAATTGTACTTATAAAACATTATATTGTAAATTATGTTTATAAAAAAGTCCCGCTGGGTTTCTACGTATATCACTCAGGGTGACAGGCGTGAGTGTTTATGATATAATTATGCTTATGGTTTACCACAAATGTGTTGAGTCACGATATAAACATATAAAGTAATAGAAAGAAATAATATTTATAGCACAAGATCCGCCATAATACATTCAACACAAAAAATATAAAAGGAATAAAATTATATTGGGCCGTGGCTAGGAAATGTTCACAGACTTAGCATAAGCTACAGCAAAATCACCGTAGCGTAGCAATGTTAATCTTCTGGCACCTTGGGCAAAACTCAAGAGCCATAAGGCATACGTACTTTTTGGCTGTTTGTATTTTTCAATCATATTTATAAATGTATCTGTGTGTACATTTATAAATAAGACAAATGCAAAAATAACATGTAAACAATATCAAAAACTAACGACGAAATCAAACTTTCAATATATATATTTATTTATTTAACATTTAAATATATACAATATTAAAAAAAAACTATAATAACAAAAACTAGAACTAAAAACTTAAATTATCATACAGTCCTACTCCCCGTGGTATTGTGTCAAGAACGCTAGCTGCGTTTCCCCGCTGAATAACTATATTTAGTATTTGAGCGAGAAAAGAACCAGCCCTCTTATCACCAGCAACGACGACCAGTCACGAATACAGGTCCTTTCGACCAAATTAAATATCAAACATCATAGCTACATATTTTTACAATAGCTTTATGAAAACTGACTTATCAAACGGAAAGAAAAACAAAATAGAACAAACGAACATAGAATCTACCGATGGTAAGTGGATATTGCAGTCCATGGACACCTGCAGCCAATTTTAAAACAAAGATGGCTACATATGCGTTATCACCTCTTAGAATTAAGGTGGAATGCCTTACAGCGTGTAATTATACTGCCTCTCTATAACTTTTAGACCGGAACACATAATACTCGTATTTCTTAGTGGTAGAGCCACGCTGCAACTATATTAAGGTTGTAGCACGATTCGCTTGGCTCGACCGGGGTAGGACCACGTTCTCTTAGAATACCAGCGTAAAATAGCAACTTAATGCTGCTGTGCTTCGGATGGTGAGTGTAGAGGACCGGAGACCCTTTTTACTGGAAAAGAGGCATTCCATCTTATTCCTCAAGGGTGGCAACGATTCTGCATTTTGATTCTTAATCAGGGATAAATGTAGATGCCTACCCAAGTAGCACACAAGCAATATAAGCGGACACTGTATCGCTCTCTTGCTGTATAACAGCTGTTTAAGGAAGTTTGTATCTTTCTTAACCTGTATATAACAGATACTTATATTTCTTTAAAATCAGAGTGATAAAGCAGCCGTAAGCGTGTTTTACTGGAAAAGAGGCATTCCATCTTAGCCCTCACGGCTGACAAAGCATTTGCATTTTAATTCGCAAACGAAGATAGATGTAGATGTCTATGGGCCACAGCAACCACTTACAATCAGGTGGGATGTGTGCTTACTCTATAAAAAAAGAAAAAGCCGTAAGTAACGATAATGGCTTTGGAGATAAAAAAGGGTTTGTAGAGCTTTTGTACACACCAGCTGGTACGCGGCTCGTGCGCGCCTCCCCGCACGCGCCGGACGCGTGGGAGATCAGGCAGTTTTTTGTTGCTAGCGGCGGCGGGTCGTAGTATGACAGTAGCTTGAGTGCAGCGGCGCCTTCGTAACGTTAGCGTATTTTGTGGTGACCGTGGCAGTGATTTCGTGCGACCAGTTTTGGTTTTATGGTGTAGATTTTTAGTATTTATGCGCGTTACTTCGCTACTTAAATTATGGTTTCGTGAAGACCGCCTCGGATTAGGTTGTCTAAGTGTATTGCAGTGAGTGTACTCGGGCCGCATGGTCACGTACATAATAACCTCTGATTGTGTCGATTTTGTTAGCAAATTTATGCAATGACGAGAAGTTGTGGAGTCTAGAAAATTAGACGCCGGGTTGGTTTATTGTTTGGAAGTTAATGTTTAATTGTACCGTTGCGTTAAGTGCCTGTGAAGGTCGCGTTCAGTTCTCGAAATAATTTGTTGCTAAGTAAACGGAAGTGATTTTTGACCCACCGTTCATCAGTCGTGCCGCGTGTTACGTCTTTTGATTATAACTAACGGGATTTAGTTGAGTTTCGAAGTTAGTTAAATATACAATAAAGTTGATAGACTGACATAGTGAATTGAAGAAAGAAATTGTCCATTGGTGACTGCGCTGGAGAATACCACACCGTGGGGCGGTGCCGGAGTCAGGCTTGCTGCTGACTAAAAGGGTTAAGTTAGGCCCCACATTTTTACACACTAACAAACACCACTTACATGCACTACACCTACCGCCTGACCAAGCCTTGTGACCAGTCTCCGCTTCTGAACCAGGTAAGTCGTATTAATTTTCCTAGCCTTATCTCGATCGGGTAGGTCAATTGTCCATAAGGCCATTTGGGCCCGAACCCTCTGGTTGCCCGTCGAGTGGAGCACTCATGGGCCCTGGTCCAGTCAACTTCTGTCTGGGCAAGTGAGGGCCGTAACATTGTTGGTAGCAGAGCGTGGTTGATTGGTTCTCCAATCGCCCAGCCGTAATATAGATAAAAATAGTACGTAATTAAAATTACATATTTTTTTGTTTGTCAGCGGGTACATTTAGGAACCACGCCCGTTAGGTTGCGCAAGCAGGATTGTAGCTTAGGGCTAGGTATGCGTCAGGTATTTTGAGTAGGTAGATAAGGTTATCACGTAATCGGATAATTATCGTTGTCGTATAATCATAGTAGATTAATTGTCGAAGGGTCGGTTGTCTGAGCGAGGCATCTTTTCTGATCGACTGTGGTGTGTACTTGCCGTGTAGTGTAATTTGTATTTTATTTAATAAATAGTAATTTGTATTTGTATAATTTTTATTTAACTTGATTTTATAGGAACTGTATTTGTTATTTGTTAATTGATTTGTATTTGAGCCGCGTAGTAATTTGCATTTAGTAGTGATGCCATCGCACAAGCTACCGATTCGTCGCTTGATGGCGGAGCTGCGCTGGGCCGCTAGCGCCCATGCTTCGATAGATCGACCGGATAGTGTCTATAGGCTTACGCGGAGCTCGAGGACTCGGATGTGGAAAAGGGAGTCCTGGACTCCTGCCTCGCGGACTACAAGAAGTTCTTTTCGCACGGACGACTTGATCGAGGCTGGGGCCAAGTATGCTAATGATGCTCTCATGAGTGGCCTGGCCGAGCCCTCTAGGACGCACCCTACTCAGCCGGAGCTGTTGGGATGACTCCCAACTCTGGACCTGCCAAGGTTCTCCGGGGTCCTCTCCGACTGGATGACCTTTGTAGGGCTTTTTGATAGCCTAGTGGACGCCCGGAGGGATTTAAAACCAAGCCAGAAGATGGCGTACCTCTTAGCCTCACTGGAGGACCCTGGGCGTCGTCGGGCATTTGAGATTATCGGACGACGCCTACCAGACTGCTCGGAACCTCCTCGCCGGAAAATGCGCCAACGTCCGGTGAATTGCGGACGAATACGTCAGGCAGCTTCTAAGCCTCCCACTGCTTAGGTATCGTGCCAGACTTCGCCCGGACATCGTGAATCCAGTCTTGGTGGCCTGTAATGCGTTGAGGCGGCTGGATTTATCGGTGGATGAATGGTCCTACTTGTTGCTCCACATCGTGCTGTCCCGCCTGCCTCTCGACCTTAGGATACATTTTGAGGAGAAGTATGGCGGGGACAGCTCCTCCTATATTCCGCCCTTTAGTGATCTGCTGAGGTTCTTGTAGGAGCAGTGCCAGCAGATTAATAACGCGGAGAGCACCGTTAACGACTTACGAGCCGTGCCCAGTGAGAGGCGGAATCCACCGGGCAAGTCGTCGGCAACCCCCCTAAGACCGATCGGAACTTCCACGGGAGGGCGTCGCTCCCTACCATCTTACAGTGGCCTAGCGGCCAGGGAGGCGCCCCCTGCTCCTGTTGTCGAGCATCCGATCATCGGGTGACGTCGTGCCCGAAGTTATAGAGTAAGCCGGTTCCGGCGAGGCGAACTATCGCCAAGGAGCGCCGCTGGTGCTACTCTTGTTTGAAAAGGCACCTACAGCGAGACTGCCCGCACCAGCGGCCCTGTCCGCATTGCCAGGGCAATCACCATGCAGTTTTGTGCCTGGGTGCAAACGGCTGCTCCTCTAGGGGCTCTGTCGGGTCATCGGCTCCCACGGGCGGGGGCGCCCAGCCACGCCCTCTGTTGGGCGATGCTCGTCGCTCGCCTACCGACCTCCGTGCCCCTGGGTTTGAAAGGGGCCCCTCCCCCGACCAGTCGGGGGGCCGTTCCTCCAGGGGCGGGGGAGTCGTCGCCCCCCTCAGCGTGTCAATAGGAATCTCA